GGAGGCTGAGGCAGGAGAATCACTTGAACCTGCGAGGCAGAGGTTGCAGTAAGCGGAGATCGTGCCACTGCACTCCAGCCTGGGCAACAAAGTGAAACTCTGTTTGAAAACAAATACTGGGCCGGGTGCGGTGGCTCATGCCTGTAATCCCAGCACTTTGGGAGGCCGAGGTGGGTGGATGATGAGGTCAGGAGATCAAGACCATCCTGGCTAATACAGTGAAACCCCGTCTGTACTAAAAGTACAAAAAAAGTAGCCATGTGTGGTGGCAGGCGCCTGTAGTCCCAGGAAGGGAGGCTGAGGCAGGAGAATGGCATGAACCTGGGAGGTGGAGTTTGCAGTGAGCCAAGATCCAGCCTGGGTAATAGTGCAAGACTCCATCTCAAAAACAAACAAAAAGAAAACAAAGAAATACTGGGTCACGCAAGCATTGACTATAGTTACCACTGCATGGTAGCATGGTAGGATTACTGAGAGTCTCATTCTCCCTTCTTTTTTTTTTAAAATTTTTTTTTGAGACAGTGTCTTGCTCTGTCACCCAGGCTGGAGTGCATGGCACAATTATAGCTCACTGCAGCCTCGAATTCCTGGACTCCAGAGGACTCACCTCCTGGGACTTCAGGTGTGCACCACCATGCCTGGCTGATTTTTTTACTTTTTGGAGGGACACTGTCTCACTATGTTGCCCGGGCTGGTCTCAAACTCCTGGCCTCAAGTGACCCTCCCAAAGTGCTGGAATTACAGGCATGAGCGACCACACCCGGCCTAATTTTCCCACTTCGTGGTGTTTTTCCAGATTTCTGACACTGAACATATGTTACTTTTGTAATCACCGGGGGTGGAAAAGGAAATGTTTGCTTTTTCAAAATGTTCTAATTTCTCAGTGCTGGATTCAAAGATCCGCCAAGCACAGGGTCTTGGTGCTGAGCTGTGGGGCGAGGAGTTGGGAAAGGGATGAGGAGTACTGCTGAGGGAAGAGGAAAATGGGGCCAGGTGCCATTACATCACACCTGCAATCCCAGCACTGGGAGACCAAGGTGGTAGATCACCTGAGGTGAGGAGTTCGAGACCAGCTTGGGCAACATTGCAAAACCCCGTCTCTACTAAAAATTAAAAAATTAGCCAGGTGTGGTGGCACACGTCTGTAGTTTCAGCTACCTGGGAGGTTGAGGCACAAGAATCACATGAACTTGGGAGATGGAGGTTGCAGTGAGCGAGATCACACCACTACACTCCAGCCTGGGGGACAGCCTGGGACTCTATCTCAAAAAAAGAAAAAAAAGGTCGGGCACAGTGGCTCACGCCTGTAATCCCACTACTTTGGGAGGCCGAGGCGGGCAGATCACCTATCACCTGAGGTCAGGAGTTCAAAACCAGCCTGACCAACATGGTGAAACCCCATTT